GCGACAATCTGGAACATGCATATGTCTGAATGCCAAATGTGAATTGTTTAGCCAAGAAAATGAGGCACAACAAGAAGAAATTGCAAATCTTTGCCCGACTTGGTAGTACAAAAAACGACCTCGGTCCATGGACTACAATGACTCGTGCCAGACGAACAATTAGCCCTGTCTGTCTTCGTTTCCTGTACGTAACGTACCGCCTGCTGTTCATTGTGTTCGGTATATACCTGTGTGGACTGTACAATATACAGGGACATATTCAGCCTCCGTAGTAGGCTTATAGCACTGGGGGTTTGGTGGTCTTCGGCTGTTTTCTGATTAGCCCAGTTAATTCAATCAGTTGTCTATGTTGTCTATATGCAATCAGAAAATATCACATAAAAGCTCCCAAAGACCCTGAAGACCCCACAAACCCCCAGTTTTTGGCATGCTATGGATGCTAGACATATTGTTGTTCCAAGCTAAGTACGCCCTTCCTGAAGATAGATACTCATCTTATCTTATTAAGACATCGCTTCAAGTCAAATAGCATAGAACAGCATCTCACTACCTTTCAATCTTTAGTCTTTACTAATTTGAATCAGTATAGCAGAAATACGAATATACACATATTACATCTTTGAACAGCTAGGACTTTGAGTATAGGATTACGACTTTGTTTTGACGCATCAGACTTTTATGTTTACTGTATGTTGTCTTACTGTATGTAACAATGTCTTGTGTAATTTTGCTGGGCCCCCTTGGAAAACAGCTAATGTAAGCTGAATGCGGGGCCACCCAGCCGTCCTAAGATGAAATAAATGAATAAATAAACATATTCCTGAATTGGGTTTATCTTGCAAATCAGAACTGTGCCGTTCTAAAACACTGAACACTGAACACAAAACACTAAGACTCGGTTTGCATTTGCCTGTTGTACAGACAGAGAATTGGAAAAAAGGGCTGTACAGTTGTATATTTCCACACTATATAGCTCTCTAGCACACACGTCACTGCATTAGAACAAGTAGTATAAGTTGATTCATGTATTGTAGGTTAATTTCGTTGTACCTACGTATTTGTTTGTATGTCTACATGTAGTTTAAGACCTTACGAAAGTCGATGTACTTTTGTTGTGTTCAGATATCAAAATATGGCCACCACAATGCATATTTTGTTTCCGGCCTTGTCGCTTGTAATGATGTTACTCTCCAAGTAAAACTTAGTTTTGCATTCATCCACCCATCCTTCAGTCAACTGTAGACACGTGGGCACACACTGATTGACTATTACAAGACCTGTATCATATAAAGTAGGAAAATATTGCCACCACAATGCATATTTTGTTTTTTGGCCTTGTCGCTTGTAATGCTGTTACTCTTCAAGTAAAACTTAGTTTTGCATCCATCCACCCATCCTTCAGTCAACTGTAGACACGTGGGCAAATACTGACTGACTATTACAAGACCTGTATCATATAAAGTGGGAAAATATTGCCACCACAATGCATAGTTTGTTTCTGGCCTTGTCGCTTGTAATGATGGTACTCTCCAAGTAAAACTTAGTTTTGCATCCATCCACCCATCCTTCAGTTAACTGTAAACACGTGGACAAACACTGTTTGGCTATTACAAGACCTGTATCATATAAAGTAGGAAAATATTGCCACCACAATGCATAGTTTGTTTCCGGCCTTGTCGCTTGTAACGATGTTACTCTCCAAGTAAAACTTAGTTTTGCATCCATCCACCCATCCTTCAGTCAACTGTAGACACGTGGGCAAATACTGATTTGACTATTACAAGACCTGTATCATACAAAGTAGGAAAATATTGCCACCACAATGCATATGTTGTTTTTGGCCTTGTCGCTTGTAATGCTGTTACTCTTCAAGTAAAACTTAGTTTTGTATCCATCCACCCATCCTTCAGTCAACTGTAGACACGTGTGTAAATACGTATTGACTATTACAAGACCTGTATCATATAAAGTAGGAAAATATTGCCACCACAATGCATACTTTGTTTCTGGCCTTGTCGCTTGTAATGATGTTACTCTCCAAGTAAAACTTAGTTTTGCATCCATCCACCCATCCTTCAGTCAACTATAGACACGTGGGTACACACTGATTGACTATTACAAGACCTGTATCATATAAAGTAGGAATATATTGCCAACACAATGCATATTTTGTTTTTCCCCCTGTCGCTTGTAACGATGGTACTCTCCAAGTAAAACTTAGTTTTGCCATCATCCACCCATCCTTCAGTCAACTGTAGACACGTGGGCAAACACTGATTGGCTATTACAAGACCTGTATCATATAAAGTAGGAAAATATTGCCACCACAATGCATATTTTGTTTCCGGCCTTGTCGCTTGTAACGATGTTACTCTCCAAGTAAAACTTAGTTTTGCATCCATCCACCCATCCTTCAGTCAACTGTAGACACGTGGGCAAATACTGATTGGCTATTACAAGACCTGTATTGTTACCTTACATATAAACTAACTGCTTAAATCTAATAAATCACTCAGTGGGAGGGGGGTACAGAGATTAGGTCGCAATCTGTAGGCTTTTGAGCATTGATTTTAGGTTCACCGGTTCTAAACACTGGCGATTGTTTTACGGGCCTCAAATCCAGGTGTGGACCCTTAACACACCTGTGTATGGGTCGTCCCAAACCATTAAAGACTATAAGCAGTATTTTTCATGCATATGCAACTGAAAGATTTTGCTGAGTTTTTACTGCAATTTCACCATGTACATGTATACACTCAGTTTGCGCTTGGTTTGCGTAAATACAAACAATATACATAAATACAACAAAATACAAAGTATTGCTCGCGATAATGAAGACAATATTGTGCCCTGAAGGCGTGTATATACGGATTGAATGAATTAGTGAATGAATACCTTTATTGTACATACATACTCACTGGGTTAAGTACAGGTCACAACAAAGGAATAGCTTGGATATACATGCATGCACACACATGATCAAGCTAGTACTAGCACAATAGTCTACTAAGGAGTAAATTCGACTTCTCACTTCTCTGTGATGGTGAAAAGGCAAGAACAGACATGTTTTAGGATCAGAGGTTTGTCTAAGCTCATTAGAAAAGTGAATTCGCCTGTATTACGTAGGTGTATAAACTGTAACATCTTCGATACAGTTCAAACCTTTATTTACTGTACAGGTAGATTCTCGTAATTGCTAGATGACCAACTTGTGTTGTTTACACTCATCTTTATTTTATCGATTTTGTAATAATGTATGTCTTTTGTTTTACTTGTGTTTTACTCTTGTTTCATATTTATATTCTCAAGTAGAAGGCGTTATATAAGGAATTGTGCTTCTTGCCTAATACTCCATTTAAAAATACGTGTTAATGATTAGAATAGGTGTACAAAGTAGGGAAACATTGGTGACACCAGTGTATAAAGTTCAAACCTGTCATTGTTGCAAACCTGTTATTGGTTTCTTTTCTTGGGATTAGATGGAAACTTAAAAGAGATAATCCTTAATAATAGGGTTTACGAAAGGAATTTCTTCAAACGGTAATTGTAGAAATCCGGCAGGCTCTAGGGGCATGTAACATAATCTCGGTATGATATTTCATAAAAGCCTGAAGAAAATCCGACCTATTATGATCTCACGCCTCGCTGCTTTCATGATAGCAATTTGTCATCTTCTATTGAGTTATGGAATTTGTAACAGACTCCAGTTCTTTGTATCGTATTCGAGAGCAATATTTCAGATCACATTGCTCATCCTAATGATATATTATTAGACTATGGCAGATGACTTATGGTCGATTGAACTGTCATTCAAGATTGAGAATAAATTACGACCTTTATTGTGAATGTTTGCTGCACTAGGCTAAGTACAGGTCACAACAAAACATGGTAAACAGATACAGTTAACAAATACAAAATAAAACAACTATCACCGGATAAATTCATATCCTTCTCGTTTTTCAGTTATAATAGTAGAAAAGAAGAACAGATATGTTTTTCGATGGAAGGTTTGTCTAGTTGCATTAGGAATATTGATATTTCTACAGTGCTTTGTTTTGCTATGTTGCTAGGGTATCTCTGTTGCCAGTTACTAGTATAATACCTATGTAAATGTAATGATTATAGGATATAGATTGCCTTCACTATATCAGTAAGTACTGTTATTGGAAGGTTACTCTTTCAAAAAAGCAAGTTGGTGTCTTGTAAAAAAGGTCCAAAACAAACATATCTTAATAGCAAGGGGTGTGTGACTTATAATATCGAAGCAGATATTTTGGTGGACAGTATCAATTTTAGCTTAAATCGGCGGGCCAGTATCAAATTGACAAGGCAGCATCCAATTTCCACCTGACGTAAACGAAGTTAAACAGTACCCAAAAGCCCGATAAAAACGCCCCAAAGCACGTAAAAAAATAAGCTGAAGCCTAAACCTCTGGTTGAAGGGTAGGGTGTGACCATTCAAGCGTGTCACAACGCGAGGAGACATCCAAACCGCCGGGGATTGTCTCACACTTGCCCCGATGCACGGGTCATTGCCTCGTGAAGACCTGTGATGATGACCTTCTACTCAGGTATTTTGGAGGTCGTGTGAGCTAACATGAGGGGGGAGGGGGGCACAGGTAGCAAACGTAAACATGTGTTTGTTAATTAGCGCCAATCATGAACGTCAGCTAAAACAGCCCACACGAGGCACTAGACGAACTCAGTCTCTCGAACTCACCACTTGTAACAACCAGAATGTAAACAAGCATGAAAGTTCATCTGTGTTGGTACAAGTCATTATGAAATAAAGACTAAGCTTTAACTTCCAAAACTAAATAACAAAGTATTGGGACTTACCTCAAATTTTCGGTTGACTCCACCAACCTTGTTCACGGTAAGACTCAATACTTTGTTAGTTAGTGTTGGAAGTTAAAGCTTAGTCTTTATTTCAGAATGTAAACAGGCATGACTGACAGCTATGTTTTTAGCAAAACATAACTAACCATATCTATCCCAAGGACGTGTGTGAAGTGACAGACTACCGGCATGATGAAGCCCTACTTCTGCTGGATGGTGCTGTCCTTGGTGCTACAAGCTGTTCCATATGGGGTAAGGCTAGTTTCTATCAGTCACCCGAATTTACTGAAAAACATACTAGAAATTGGCCAGATATGGTAAAACAATTGCCTTCTCATAATAAATACATAATAAATACTTCTCTTCTAAATTGCCGTTTCAAACATACTAGAAATTGGCCAGATATGATAAAAAAATCTCCTTCGATGCGCTCACTCGTCGATTAAATCGGTGGTTATAGAAAATAACCAGGCCTTATGACACCGATCATAACCCTTAATTAATCAACCCATTAAAACCATACCTGTGCAGTCTGGACTAATAAGCAATGCCTAGCAAACTATTAGCCCTCTGTGACCAATTTCTTGACCGGTAACATCTACATTGAATATTGAACGTTTTATGTGCTATTTTCGAAGAAACCACACTGCAATTGAAAATTTTGGATACATTAACCCAAAGTACATACCTAGCAAGTGTCAAAGAATACTATTGATACCAGGGACGCGTAGGCAACTTTGCACTTCGGTACCTGCCATAGGACTAGGCCCCGTACATGGCCCATACGAGGGACCATTTACTGGTCTCATTATCTGGCCAGATATGCTATTTTGGCGTTCACCTAACATAACTTTTGTTTGTACCTTACAGCATGGTCTAATAGGAACCATGGTCGAGTGTGGCTCCAATCAGGAATGTCCAAATTTCGAATACTGCTTCTTTGCTGAACCGGGGGAAAAAGGCATGTGCCTGGTAAGTATTCTCAAAACTACACGTTATCATTAATTACATGATATAGCAAAAAAAATGCTGCTCCTGTGTAGAAGAAGAATGAACTGTTCGTTTCCAACATTTCACATGTTAACGCTTTGCTAGTAGAATGCCTTAACGAATGTTAACACTTGCTGGATGTATATTGAGCCGTTCTGCTTCATTGCCAAGCACTTTTAAGTGAATTGTTAAAATAATTCAAGAGTATTTGGAAATACAGCATAGAGATATCATTAGTAGCTGCACAAATGATGATAAAAAGCTAGTATTGATGGGATACAGCTCTACATTATTATGCCCAAGTGGATAGTCCAATATATTAAATGTCCGTGGCAAGAATACCGAGAAGAAAAGGAACAGCTGTACATGTAGATGAAAGTTTGTTTCACAGTGAACTGTATCATGAACATTGGAGCAAGCCTTAGCAATCAAATTTCAAGAATTGCAATGAATCATTATGTTATAAGATGAGATAGGAAAGTTCTTTGGAAAGTGACAGCGATATGTAAAAATACGAAGGAACGGAAAAGGAACGGAAAACACAAAACACGTATCCCTCTCTCATTCACGTTGCCCAGGGCCTGGACTGTTATAAGCAGGATGATTGCAAAGAAGGAAGCTTCTGTGACTTTTCAGAATCCGTCGGTGTTAGGACCCCCAGAGGGGGCTGCGCAAAAGGATCCAAGCCTCCAGAGGTACCTATGACAAATACATGATGATAAGCCCCTCGTTTGCTCGTCTCCTGTCTTTGTGTGCTCTCAAATTTCCTGGTGTGAAGTGTTCGTTCTTTATTACTTACAACATTAAGAAACAACCTAAAACTAACCAGTTGGCAGTAACAAGGTGATGGTACCGTCATCCATTTCTGTCATTTTTCCTCCTACTGTCATGGCGTCGTTTGGCGCGGTGCATTGTGGTCAGAACTGGTACCATCACAATTTTGTTTCATGTTGGTGTTAAGAGCGGGTAGTTTTTGTCGGATAGATAGAATACCCTAAAGATGAAAAAGAGAATTTTTTGTCAGGATGAAATATTAAATATATAAATAATTGTATATAGATTTGTGTGACGACCAGAATGCATTGCGGTGTGGTACCCAACACATCTCCTTTGGTGAGGATTAGGGTTAACGGTGATTTTTGAAGATGTGTCACTTTCAAAACATTTAAATCAGGTTATGTTTTGGAAGGCGATGATTTCTTGTTGATGTGTTCTACAGAGCGTTCTCTGCAATCGTGACTCGATGTGTGAGACGTCGTACTTCTGCGACATGACTGCCGGACCAGACGGAAACGGAATGTGCCGGAAACGGCAGAATCGCCAGCTACACGGAGGGGTAAGACAGTCACAAAAACAATTTTTTTCTGCAATAAAGATGTTTAAACATCTGTTTAAGTGAAAATCATAACTTTTTAGATTAGACATTGTTAGCAAACTGTCTTTTTGGTTTTTACGTTTATTTTGGGTACACATGTTTGATTTTTGTTTTGGAAAATTACTGGAAGATTAGAAAAAAAATTTTTTGTTAGCAACTTTGATACTGAATATTTTGAATCCCTTTTTGGTGGTGGGGTAGCGACTTAACAATGCATAGTCATTGATTGCACAAAATTAAAGGATTCAAATTCACAACTGCTAGAAAATGTACGTCGATGAAGGTTAGACGTCCATGTATTGAGATAGATACACAAACACAAGGAAATTGTTACCCAAGCAACTGGAAAGGTTTTTAAATGCACTTTCTTGTCCAGATCACAGTGTGCTACAAGGATATCGACTGTCCCGGCGGGAGATACTGTGATAAGCACGACCCTGAGTTGGAGCTCGGCATCTGCCGGGACCCTCCGCCGTACCCCGTCCTGCCGCCCGAGCCCGAGAAACAACCTGACCGGGGCCCGACCGCACCTGATGGACAGTACACGGTGAGGAGGTCATCCATGACAAGGTTTAAGTTAGTGGTCGACCATAGACTGAGAGACTGAAGGACGAAGCATGCATGGTGCTTTTTTCCTTAGCAAGTTTTTTCGTTAGCAATATGATCGTGTAGCGCAAAGCCTTGGTCACAACCCGCTGTACGTGCTTTTTGTCCGTACGTTTTTTGGGAGGCTACGTCTGCTACGTTTTCTGAAAACGTGGGGAAGGAGTGGCGTCTACGCACGTCACTCACACGGTTGCGCAAGGTGTAAGAGTGTGGTCTGCACGCCATGACCACGTCTGGGCGTGAGCGGTTGCGTGCATCGTACGTTGCGCAAGTGGTGAGTTGTACGTGCTTACAACGTTAACGTACGATCTCTGTGCGATTGCAACTTTACCATAAGGAGGCCATTCTCACACGTGCTTCTTCCGCACGGCACGTACGGGGCACGCACGCGCGTCGCTCGTACTCGCACGCACGGGTGGTGAATCCGCAGACCGCACGTAGAAAAAGTTTTACATGCACTTAAAGTTCTACGGCGTGTCTGCGTGCTCCCAAATCCGTAGGATTCCGTACGGAGGTGGTACTCACCACGCACGGATTCCCTACGTTTGCACACGTTTTTGCACGTAGACAGCACGCAGAAGCACGTACGGCGGGTTGTGACCGTGGCGTAACGGCATGCAGTATGTTTGGCCCAGAATCCAAAAGCATCCTAGGTTCGAATCTTGCTATGTCATCGATCTTGGAAAAGGCACTTTGCACGACTTTCCTTACTCTACCAAGGTGTACAATTGGGTACCTGACTTCGGTTGGGGAGGTAAAAGAGGAATGGGCTCCGCCTTCCAATACCATGCTCTGCCTTTACGGCTTCAAAAAGGCTATGGGACAACCTTACCCATATTTTAATAGTGCAATGCGGCTTACATGGCTTAGTCACGGCCCATCCATTTACTCATACTCAATGGCCTTTACGCTAATAATGAGGGTAGTCCTTCGGCGTACTCCCATGTCATCAGTCATCATTCGTAGCTATAGAACAATGACACCGCTGACACGGAATTCGGCGGGTTCGACTTTATCCATTCGTCTTTCTCAAAATTATCAACATGCCATCAGTCATTTCATTGTTTTGACTCGTTGTCAACCCTAGAATTTGATTCTAGATAAGAGTTCCATCCCCTGCTACTGCCCTGCAGCAGTAGATAAAGATCTCTACAACGTAAAACTTCCTCAACCGAAAATCATGAATTCGGAGATCTCATACCTCCATGAAACATGTAGAGGCTACGTAAAATTGTTATTGGGGGAATTTGTCTCATTGTAAGGTCGTAATTAACAGTTTTCTAAACTCAAATTACAAGACCATAGCATGTTCAGGACAAAACATACAAAAACAGGAAGTTCTGCTGCAGTACCAAGGTCAGCCACCAGGAGGGCAATATTTGACCATGACCTTTGTCTTCCTAAGACCTACCAACGTACCAAATATCATCACAATCCATAAAGGCGTTCTGAAGTTATGCTGACTACAAATGTGCGGAAACACACACAAACACACACACACACGCGTACACACTGACACACCAAAAACAATACCTCCATTTTTCATGGAGGTAATAACACACCTTCTCTCTTTCTTCTTGTACATAAACTTCGATGCTCATGCACATACGTAGGGGTTTATTCTACGTTATTACAGATCACATAGTAAACCCAATGCTTGTTTCCAGGGCATCCCGTGCAAACAGGACCCAGACTGTGGAGTGAACAGTTACTGCGTACTGCGGAAGGAGCCTGACGGCAGGACTGTGGGAGAATGTGTGCGGGGCAGCAGAAGGGGAGAGGTAGAGAACAACTTTGGTTTTGTTCTGATATCCGAACCAAATCACTTTTCTAATGATGTCATATCTCAATGATATAGAATATTCTGATTCACCCCTTCCCAACTCACCAAACATTACTCTGGGAGCTGCCTATATAAATTGCCGCGGACGCAGTGCTTTTGGCCACCGAAGGACACTGGCTAACGGCCCGATATCCGGTCTGGCTACCAGCAGAATCCACCCCCCCCTTTTTTGCATTGGCTCAAATAAGTTGATGATACAATAATACACTTAACACTGTTAAGTTAACAGATAAGAGTCGGGGTTATACATGATAAAAGATTCCTTGAGTAAAATTAGAAGATAAACCTGAATATTTGTTTTAGTCAATCTTAGGCTTTTGGTAATTGCAACGTTGGAACGGTATTGTTGGAATTACATGTTGACATGATGAGATAAGCTTAATGTATTATAAGCTTGGGGTAGGATCATTAATTGTGATTTGTTTTACCCCAGCCCGTCTACTGTTATGACGACCCCATGTGCGGAGCAGGCTTCAGGTGTAAACTCTCCCCTAACGGCGTGTACGGGATCTGTACTGAAGACGACAAGGCACAACCAGACGGGCACGTGAGTATCTGTACACTGTATAGGGCCAATGCACCATATGTGCAGATATATGCAGTTTGTGTTGCATTGTATTCTCTACATACATTGTAGACGTATGGTTGCGAAATATTTCAATGCATTTAATACATTTCTGCATCAAAAGGAGTTTTGAAACTATAGATTCGACGTTTTATGTCACGATATTATCCTAACTTAAAGATATTTCGCATATAGGATGTAGTAGAAGTCCCTCATTCTTGTATCACGTATCTCGTGATCTATAATTACACCATCACCTTTCTAGAATAGTGTGAAATCCATATAACACTACTGGAGATCCTAAAAAATCAAACAAACAAACAAACAAACAAACAAACAGACCATCAGGGCATGATCATGATGAGTACTTTAACCAAAGCCCTGACCAAAGCCGAATGCCTGGTTGTGTTGCAGGGAGGGAACATGTTCTGTTACTCGGACTCGGACTGTGACCGGGGAGCCAAGTGTGAGATGACGGAGAAAGGCGGCATGTGCACCAACGGTGACACCAACAACATCACGCCGGAACAGAAGCCGCCTGAGAAGGTAGGGACACGGGATAAAGTCGAGATGCAAAATGAGAAAGGCACAATGAATTTCCTCTCAGTGGCAGTCTGTTGAGTGTATATGATAAAAGAGTACCTCCGTTTAAAGCTAGTGACATTCTCTTTTGCCTGCATAAAAGTTCCGAAATAAAGTATACCTACAAATGATTACAACTGTTCTTTGATGAAACTTTGAGTTGCAGGTAAACTACTAGTATTTGTTGCCAGGTAAGTTGGTACACGAAGATAAAAGATGTATGACAAATGACAAAACGTTGCGAACGACAATCTTCCATGCTACTACATTGATTGATAACGACTATACTATATCAAAAATTCAAATGTCATTAGAACGTAACTCTTATCATTAGTGCATGATGGTGACTCCTGCATGTTTTGTCCCATTGTATCCTAACCTCCAACTTCATCTAACATTCGTAATATCTAACACCGTAACGTACAATTTCTAACAATTTTTGTCATCTTCGTACTAAACTATCTCTTATCTTTTTATACTTTATTAACACGAGTACAGAACGACCCTATGATGAAGGTAACGTAATTCTAGTGCAGCTACAACTTGTGAAACAATTTTAATCGACCAACCATTGATAGCATCATCCATAACATGTGATGTCGCCACAGCAAATGATGGTGATGTTAACAAAAGTCGCCATTTTTCTCATATTATCATCTGCAGCTGCAGGCAGGTTTTTGCTACGTGGATAAAGAATGTAAGGAAGGTCACATCTGCCGAGTCAATCTGTCTCGCGGGTTCGGGAAATGCGAGTTGGGGTCTCGGGAATCTGAGATTGACAGAGGACAGGTAGAGCTCAGACGCTGGTGCTTGACCGGCAGTTCTGCCGCACGCATATTTGGGTTCTAAAGACAGTTCCTTGGTATAGAGAATCGCAGCAAAGCTACATGTGAAATAGTGCATTTATGCAAATGTAGCGCATTTATGCAAATGTTTGCATTGATGCAAATGTTTGCATTGATGCAAATGTTTGCATTGATGCAAATGTGCGCATTTATGCAAATGTGCGCATTTATACAAATGTGCGCATTTATGCAAATGTCTGCATTTATGCAAATGTGCGCATTTATGCAAATGTGCGCATTTATGCAAATGTGCGCATTTATGCAAATGTGCGCATTTATGCAAATGTAGTGCATTTATGCAAATGTAGTGCATTTATGCAAATGTTGTGCATTTATGCAAATGTAGTGCATTTATGCAAATGTAGTGCATTTATACACATATTGTGCATTTATGCAAATATTGTGCATTTATGCAAATGTAGATGCAAATGATAGACACCAATATATTTCATGATCAGTTGCAGTCTACTTGCTGATTGCCTCGTGGTTGATGCTGGTTAATGAATATTGAGAGGTTGCTGGGCCATGTTTGATAAAATACAAGTGAATTTTCAGTGACAACCTACTAGTAATTGCTGAGCACTCCTGATTCGTGCTGGTTTGTTGCTGCCGCTCCAGCTGTCGTTAGGTTTATGCTGTCTGTTGCTGTAGAAGTGCAAGTAGTTGCAGTAGCAGTAGCGTGTAGAAGGTGTGGTAGCTGTAGGAGTAGGTAGGCTGGGAGGATGCTGGCAAATTTCAAGATAAGATAAAATTCACACATTTAGAACTCAAGTGCAGTACGTCTACACAGAGTTTCAAGAGCCACAAGGGCTGTTCCATTTGAAAGAACTTGGTTAAAGGGGTGGGGACTAGTATATACACACTAAGTCAAGCGATGATCAGACTAGAGGCGCTGTGCGTATTTGCGATCGTTAGCCAACCAGATGCTTCAATGACCTATCAGCACTGCAATATTAGACTCATACTAAAACCGACGGAAGGAAACAAATGTCCCTGGCGTTTCAGAATAATCTCGTTTGAAATTCGAATTCCTGTCAGTGCTACCCTTTTGAATGGAATAGCTCTATCCCACACATCGTATGCCCAGACATCATTCGTTCAGTCACTCATTCATTCACTAATACAAAGAATAAGTCTGAATAACCCATTACTAACATTAACAACACCCATCCGTATGATCTCACCCAAAGGTACATGTACACTGACACACTAACGTTAAGTTACTAACGTATGTAATTTACTTTCTTTCTAACAAACATAACGGAAGGGTGAGTCTGTCAGGTACATTTAACATCTAACATCTTGTCAACTTTTCATATCAATTTCAAGATAACGTTCATGTGTAATAACCAGTTCAGTTGAAACGGACACCATTTCAAAACCATCAGTGTATTCATGAGCACATTATTTTGTTTTGTGTATTCACCATTATATACCTCATCGTGTGACTAACCACATCATTACTAACCCTTTTCACCACCAGCCCAACTTTTGCTACTCAAACGCTGACTGCGCGGCGGACCGTTACTGTGACGGGGCGCAATCTCTCGGCTACGGCACCTGTAGACTCGGGCCCCGCGGTCCCGTTCCCGTCCCGGTAAAGATATACCTAGCACATTACCTAGCCTGGTAGCTAGACCATCGTAAGCTCGCCGGTATTTCTACGGTGCTGGGAATGCTGCCCGCCCGCACAGGAGCTTTCCTGAGGGCGGCGGGGGGGGGGGGTGTTACGGGGTCGGTTTCAATGACTTCGCGTGCCCTTGTGGGTCTGTGCCCGTGCTCTGAAAATTTTGGTCCGGGTGAAAAAAATCGGTCCAGGGAGTGGCCTAAAAAATACGAAGCCGGCAACACTCCCAGTACCGCATTGATAGTGAGAGAGTTCCCGGTGGTATGATTGCCAGGCTACTGGACAGCATGTTGTACAACATGGTGATGGTGTTTTTGTCCCTGCATTTTAATAGTGACATCAAAGATGATAGAATGGTGCAAATATGATGCATACCAAGTATGTTCACGCTGGTTCGAGTTCCTGATGAAGCCAGCAGTCCACTTAAACGATACACCTATGATCGACTTTTATAAAACTTACAAAGAAAAAACTAGTCTTCTTTTAACTTCCCAAAATCCACTAATTTTGGAGAAGGTGGGACATTACTAGTACGTCTTCCATGGTCTAAAAAAGAGAAGTCAGACCCCTTAGACATAGTTTTAGACATAGCTATAGCTCTAGACAACTACCTTTTATCATGTAGATTTTAGTTATTTTATACTACGTTTCATTGTTCTTTTCTGTTTGTAATTTGCAATTAGCCCCCCGGGCATGAATTTGCAATAAACTTCACATATACCTTTGATATCTCCGTTGATACAGCAGGTGGATGAGGTGTGTTACCGGCACGAGGAGTGCGGCGTCGGGCGCCACTGCAAGGTGGACGAGATGGTCGGCTTCGGCAGGTGTCGGGACGGCAGCCCGCCTCAACAACCAGAACCGCCGGTGTGTACATCTACTACTTGCACCACGTGCATATGTTATATTATATGTCATTTTTCAATCATCATATTAATTTCATGACTATCGTTTGTTAATTAAGTTAGGAAGGAAGAGGGCCCTGTATAAGCCATGAAGGCTTTCCCCCTTCTGCAAATTGTTTTTTCTTTTACGTTACTTTTATTTATTCCAGTTATTTGTAAACGATGTGCGAATAAACAAACAATATGTTATATTAGACAGTTGAATAACTGACAAGCCAAAGCTTATAACTGCATTGTAATATTAGGACGATACAAAAATTTTATGGGCATTTCTTTTTAAAGTAAGTTGAATCAACCCTAGCCTACTCCATTGCAAATAGCTGCCAATTGGGAATAAGTGAAGGTGCCAAATTATGACGCCTTACGAGTGTGTTTAAAATCTGGAAACACAGCTGTTAGCCATATTTGTTTGCATTCGGGTATTCTGTGGTGGTGCCACAAAATGAGCGCTCTGTTTTAGCGTTAGCCACTAATGTCAGAAATATGACGTCCTTTCGAAACACTATGATTGTAAATGATCTGGACAATGCGCACAGGCTGTACTATCAGCAGCACTATAGGTATGAACTAAGTATGTTCTCGGCAGAGATACTCTCCAGAACTTTACAAGCGATCTAGAAGGCAAACTGTGGAAGAAAAGACAGAGGCAGAGGCCTGGCTGGAAAGAGAACTCTTCTACGCCAGGCAAGGACGTCGACGACAACAAGCTAACCGAAAGGCACAGAAAGAACGTCAAAGACATACAAATCCTAAAAGATCAAAGCTGAAACGCCCTCGTGCGAAAGAAAAACACAAAAGAGTAAAACCGATGCAACAGAAAAAGAAGCAACATTTGCGGAAATTGCTGAAGTTAGCAAATACCTTTGTAAACACAAATAAAAGTTCCCTACCTGCGATTCGCCATCTCCGAAAACGGATACAGACGGAGTTTTTGTGCAACAGGACTAGGCTTAAGAGTAAAGATAAACTGGACAAATGTTTGGCAAGGCGGAACGAATTTATCATCCTGGGGAGGCAGAATAAGATAATTATCGTTGGCGAAGATAACAAGATTATCATACGGGGTGATAAGAATGATATAATCATTGACGGCGAAGGGAATGTGGTCACCGCTTTGAGACAGGAATGGAACGAAACTGCTACAGAAAATACAACAAAGACTGAACACCGACTAGAGACAACAACTATAGCAAGAATGTATGAACAGACTGCCGCATCTTCTCACATTGCCAGTACCACGGACAGGATTCTAAGGAACAGAACCACAACTACGCCACTGATACGGACAACTAAACCAGTACATTCGAATACAACTGTTAGCAGTCAAAATACCACCTATCTAATCATGAATACGACAGTTTATCAGAATCCGTCCAACATCACTAACACATCTGGAAACATTCCAAATACTACCTATTCAACAACGCCATTGATACGAACAACTAAATCAGTGCCTACGGACACAACTGTTAGCAGTCGAAATACAACCTATACCTTCGGGAATACGACGGTTTATCAGAATTATTCCAACATCAATGACACTGGGAACAATCCAAATACTACCTATCAACCTGGAAACACAATTGTCTATATGAATGAATCCAGAATTGTTTATACATCTACCGAAAGTCTGCCAAATACTACTTATATATCGAGAAATACGACCGTTTTTCATACTGAATCGCAATTAAACAACACACAGGTAATTACAAATTACTACAACCAAACACTTTCACAGCGGAAAGAGACAGAAAAGGGTAAAAATAATGAGTGTGCGGGGACGCAGGGTTGGTTGTTAGGTTGGCTGTGGAGTTGGAAATGTGATGAGGAAAGTCAGCCGAGGAACCAAAATATCTCCAAAGAAAATATTGAGACCACGACAGCACACAACATAACGACAATACTGTCCACCACACAAAACTTCAGTACAAACACCACAGGTCGTACTCCAGTAAAGAATGTTACATGGACTCTTCTAAAGCACAACACTACTAGTGACGGACAGAGAGTAACTAGAACAAAAGAAAGGAACCTTACAACAATCAAAATTGAACGACACAAAATTCCAATAGATCCAAATACGACCTTGTCTCACCTGACGAATGCGACCAAGGCTTACACAGCTGCAGACAAGGTGACAATTGGATATGTTCAAAAGACAACGTTGCCTTACGTGAAAACTGTGACGGAGCGTTACAAAACCCGAAAGGCAGTCGATTCCGACAGCAAACTCGATATGCTTCGAAAGCCAACTCCCGTACAGCCCACTCATATCCCAAGTTCAAAACCAGTGAAAGAAGATGTAAAGACTGACAGAATACCACGAATCCCAATGCCGCTTCGACGTCCAAAAGAACAGCTCAAAACTACCCCTTCACCGGTCCACACTTCATCAAGTCTACACCATCAAACAAAGCCAACAACGACAGAGGAGAGTAAATCAACAAAATCGCCAAGAACACGATCTCCTGAAGAGAAGACTATGCTACCTAACCCTACCAAGAAAATATATGTATCGCCGTCTCAAGTGAACCCAAAAGATAGAGACCAAAAACGCAAAGACAAAGGTCCTAAAGGGAAGAACAAAGACAAAGGTAAGCCATCTAAGGCAGAAGAGAATCGGCGTAATGGTAGAAAACCTCATTCACGAGGAAAAAACAATACAAGCTCTAGGATTCGCCGTCCCGAAAAACAGAGACCAAGCAGCCGACGAACCACTAACACGGACAGGCCTACGGCAAACCGACAGTTGGGTAGCACGAACCACGGCAACGTTCAATCCAGAGGAGACAGGTCTCCCACACCGGCTGCTTTGTCCGTGCTAACTACCCTTAGTACGTTTACTCCATTGCCGCCTACCACCGAGAGACGATCTGATGTGCTCACACAAATAGATAAACAGTTTCCGTCTTTCGCCACCCATGGAAAAGACAACAGGCAGATTCTTCAGACAGCTTCGTCTACACAAAACGTCCCCATCAGCTGGATAAAAAGGATCAACCGAAAGCTCTTGAAGTTCGGGACTTCCATCCACTTGGACAGGATCGTCTCTGGTGTCCACGTGTGGCGGATCTCCAGTACGGACATGAAGGTACAGGACACTGCTGGCAACGTACGGCTTCGCTGCACCGCTGTGAGCAGGCTTGGCAGTCCCAGCCAACTCTCCTCGTAGTGTTCTCACGTAGACGACTTTGTTGATGCTCTATCACTTCAGTCCAGTTCAGCTTTATCTCGGTATCAAAGGCACAGTAAACCGCGAAAGAGACCCCAAATATCTATTGTTATATACACAGTTGCAAACACGGTTGAACAGCAGCCAAAGTCTCTAAGATTCAGGTTTTCAGCCATGCATTTCATCCCGCTCTACCCTTTCCCCATAGCCACTGACCACATATACCACAGGAACCATTTGAGGGAATATAATGTACAAATATGGGTGTTATTCACCAACTATATATACGGCTAACATAGCTGTCATCGGTGTTTCGTATTGCCAGTAGACTGCTTTGCAGCTGGCCATAGTAATGACGGAACAAGAACTATATGTAGTATAAATTTCATGCTATTTAAGAACTATACGTACATAACTGCAACAGACATATACATGTACTTCCATATGAAATAACGAACGTTTCGATCCATACTTTTGCAGCAACAACAGTTCTGCTACAGCGATAGTGAATGTGGACATGGGAGGTACTGTAAAGAAGATAGGGCCATCGGGTACGGAGTATGCACGGAAGGGAGCCGCCCTCCTCAGCCTCAACCCGTACCGATAGAGCCTCAGCCACAACCACGGCCAAGTGGGGTACGTGTATCACAAAATGTGTACTCCACACTTTCCTTAGGCGAAATATAGAAATATGGGAAGAAAGACCTTTATTGACTGCTTTTATGTTCTTATGAGCTACGTACAGGCCATGTATAAGACTGAGGTAGACTAACAGTAGAATAACAGTAAAACAGTAAGACTAACAGTAGAATCTTAGTAATATATACACAATTGGGGCATAGGGTGGGATAAAAAGGGAAAGAGTTAGCATGACAATCGTTGAAAAGACGTAAATGTGAGAGTCTACTCTCGAACAGGCTTAAACGTTGCATATTACTAAAACCGTATCCCAACTGTTGCTCGATGTCTATTTAACAATTTTTGTGTCTGATCCCCCAGCAGTTCTGCTACAACGACCCTGACTGCGGCCAGGGACAGTACTGTGATGTAGACCAGTACGGAGTGGGGACCTGTCGCAGTGGGAGCCGACCAGTTCCAGCCCCTGCCCCTGCTCCGGCACCCGCTGTGAGTACAGTATTCAGTCATAGTGCATACTATTATGACGTACTCGAGATGGCATTCCGAACAATCCATTTTTCCCTAATAGGTTATTGTTTTTGCATACTGTGTGTTATCTTGCATTTAGCCTTTGGGCAAGGGCTTGCAAATAAGTACAAAATGGACGAGAAAATCACCCACTGTAAGTACTAGTCACAGACACTTCCACAAAACACATGAGGACAATATCTATCTTTACTGTATCGTCTATATGTTGGCAGGGATCACAATGGGAATTTGTTTTTTTCCTAACAAGCTGTTTTGTGAAACTCTCCGCAAGGGAGGAATGGAAGAATGTGTAGCAAAATGTTGGAACAGTCATGTGTTTGTTTCTTTACTCTTTCAATTGTAGGGTATACCCATGGTTGTAGTATTGTTGATTGACTGCAATACATTGTACCACGTACTTGAGCAATAAAATCATTCATTCTTTAATTTCCTGATTTGGTCTCAGGAGCAGTACTGCTACCGTCCCGAGGAATGTCCAACGGGGTTTTACTGTGATCAGACTGGCGGCAATGGCTTCGGGATCTGTCGGCAAGGTTCGGGAGGACCACAACCGACGTCGGTAAGTAGAACCTCTCATGGGAGAAATAATTAAACTACCATCCTCCTTCTGCTAAAATCGCAGGGCGTATGCTGTAGTTTGCATGGTGACAATCTACGCAAAGGCAATCGGAAGTCTGCAGACAGTAATTAAAAGACGAGCGCGGTGACAATATAATATCAATATATATAGGCTGTGGACATAATCAATTAGTAGAGGTTGTGGGATATAATGAAAGTCAAGTGCAAATAGTCTTTATCTGCTGAGGCTATGGTTATATAACTGACTCCAAGCAGATCTTTGGGTGGATGCAATGCAGAATCAACTTGGTTAGGGAGTATCCAATATGG